GAATGAAAATGGTGGGAGCATGTGACTTAGATTTATAAGTAGAGTTTTATTAATGTGAAAAAATAAATATTTAAACGAGGAATACGAGTATTCCGTCTAGATCTCTTGCCAAGTTTCTTATAATAAACATTAGCAAATAATTATGTTTTTAAAAGGAAACGATTGTGGGACAGAAATATATGATGGATAGAGGACGATACAGACAGGACGGGTCCGGACGGGACGAGACGGGACGGGTTGGGACGAGACAGGAAGGGACGGGTCGGGACAGGACAGGTTTTTCATTCCTAACTATACGTAAAATAATTCAAACTAAAGCCAAATCCAAATCCGATTTAACATCTCTAAGCAAACAATTAGAAATGTTTTGATTAGTTTAAAAAATAAACACGTAATATCATTTAACATTTTCATTTAAATTATTTTAAAACTATATTAAGTAAACAATATCTATATTTTACAATTGTATGCCTATGTATAATTTTTCAAATAAACTTATATAACAAACTTTTACCAAAATCGTATCTACATAAAAAAATCGTAGTTTTGCAAAAATAACCCCGCACGTACGTGCGGGTCCATCACTAGTTACCCATTAAAAAACCTATTAGATAACAATGTAAGTACTCGTGAATGATTTGAAATAAATGCCCAAATAACTATAAACGCAGAAATTAATGAAAAGATCCAGTGATGAAGTCGGGTTTTGTTTCAGTTTTTGACCCGACCCGGAAGTCTTTTTGTACTTCTGTTTTACTATAGTAGGGATGTCGAAAACCAAATTTCTGAATAAATTGTCGACTCCTACGAACCACAAACGACGTTAAATTTCATTCTTTCTTTTTTTTTGGTTAAAAAAAGTTGTAACACACAGCAGTTAGATTATTTCTTATAAATACTCAAACGTATCAATACGGTATCATAATTACTAAAGAACTTTCTTCCTCCACCATACTTCAGTCTTCACCATCAGTTTGATGATCTCTTAAACAAAACCAAAACCTAACCGACGTCGTACGATGAATCTGTCACTTAGCGGTAGAAAGATTGCGATGCCAGGTGTTTTGTCGGAAACTCAGTATATCACTCCCATCGGATCACCTACGCTCGACGAGTTGCTGAAAGATTGTGACAGTTTCCGAAAAGGAGATACTGGCGACGGCGTAAAAAGCGATGATCCAGCTCATCACGTGATAGATGTCGAAGCCTTACACCTAAAACCTGTCCCGTTCGTCCTAGCGTTTAACAATCTTGAATACGATGTCACACTTCGACGTCGTTTTGGGTTCTCGGGAAGAAGCGGAGTAAAGACTCTACTTGATGATGTTTCCGGCGAGGCTTGCGACGGAGATATCCTCGCCGTTCTTGGTGCAAGTGGAGCAGGGAAGTCTACTTTGATCGATGCATTAGCGGGGCGAGTTGCTGAGGGAAGCTTAAGAGGCTCCGTAACTCTAAACGGAGAAAAAGTCTTGCAATCTCGGTTGCTAAAGGTCATATCGGCGTATGTGATGCAAGACGATCTTCTCTTTCCGATGCTCACCGTTAAAGAAACCTTGATGTTCGCTTCCGAGTTCCGTCTCCCGAGATCTTTATCCAAGTTAAAGAAGATGGAGCGTGTTGAAACCCTAATTGACCAATTAGGGCTTAGAAACGCGGCCAACACGGTAATCGGAGACGAAGGTCACCGTGGAGTATCAGGCGGAGAGCGACGGCGCGTTTCAATAGGAATCGATATTATTCACGATCCCATCGTGTTGTTCCTCGACGAGCCAACGTCGGGTCTGGATTCTACAAACGCCTTTATGGTGGTGCAAGTTTTGAAACGTATCGCTCAGAGTGGCAGTATTGTAATTATGTCGATCCATCAACCTAGTGCTCGCATCGTGGAGTTGCTTGATAGGCTTATCATCTTATCTCGCGGCAAAAGTGTTTTCAACGGATCTCCGGCTAGTCTTCCTGGATTCTTCTCCGATTTCGGTCGTCCGATCCCGGAGAAAGAGAACATCACAGAGTTCACTCTTGATTTAGTTCGAGAGCTCGAAGGATCCACCGAAGGAACCAGAAGTTTAGTTGAATTCAATGAAAAGTGGCAACGAAACAAGCTCAGTCTCAGCCAATGTGCTCCACAAACCAACATGTTGGAGCTAGACCACACGTTAACCTTAAAAGAAGCCATCAATGTAAGTGTTTCTAGAGGTAAACTAGTTTCAGGCTCATCTAGAGCCAATCTTACTTCCATGGAGACAGTATCTTCATACGCAAACCCGTCATTGTTCGAAACATTCATCTTAGCCAAACGGTACATGAAAAACTGGATGCGGATGCCGGAGCTTGTAGGAACACGGATCGCTACCGTAATGGTGACTGGTTTTCTCTTAGCCACTGTGTACTGGAAGCTGGACCACAGTCCAAGAGGAGCACAAGAGAGATTGACCTTGTTCGCTTTCGTTGTTCCGACAATGTTCTACTGTTGTTTAGACAATGTTCCCGTTTTTATCCAGGAACGATACATTTTCTTGAGGGAGACAACACACAACGCGTACAGAACATCTTCGTACGTTATATCTCACTCCCTCGTGTCTCTTCCTCAGCTCCTTGCTCCGTCCTTAGTATTTTCCGCGATCACATTCTGGACTGTTGGATTGAGCGGCGGACTAGAAGGTTTCTTCTTCTATTGCCTCATAATCTACGCCTCCTTCTGGTCTGGTTCCTCCGTCGTGACCTTCATATCCGGTGTTGTCCCCAATATCATGTTAAGCTACATGGTCGCTATTTCCTATCTCGCCTACTGTTTACTGTTGAGTGGATTCTACGTCAACCGAGATCGGATACCTATCTACTGGACATGGTTTCATTACATTTCACTGCTCAAATATCCCTATGAGGCTGTCTTAATCAACGAGTTTGATGACCCATCCCGTTGTTTTGTCAAGGGAGTCCAAGTATTCGACAGCACTCTTCTCGGAGGAGTATCTGAATCCGGGAAGGTTAAGCTCCTCGAAACTCTCGGTAAGTCTCTGCAAACGAGAATTACAGAGTCCACCTGCTTGAGGACTGGATCCGACTTTCTTGAGCAGCAAGGTATTACTGAGTTGAGCAAGTGGGAATGCTTATGGATCACATTTGCGTCAGGTCTTTTTTTTAGGATCTTGTTTTACTTCGCCTTATTGTTGGGGAGCAGGAATAAGAGGACATGAAGATTACTAGTCCCCACAAACACATGTATCTGCATTAGCTACATATTTAAGTAAATCTTGAAAAATGATCCCCTCGATGATGTAATTTTGTGATTAAGTTGTTACATTTATATTCGTTTCATCTTTGTGTTCTTCCTTTTCTTTTTGTTAAAGAATACCGTGAAAAAATAAACAAGAATTTTTCTTAATATGCACATTAGCATCTGGCTACTTGAATACACAAATTTGATTTCGAGCATTTCTGCACTTATTAAAGTGTCTAAATTAATATTTCGACTGATCATATAGACAATTTCAAAGAAAAAAGAAGAAGAATAAAAAAAAGTAGGAAATGAGGGTGAAAAAAATGATGACTTCATAAGTCTCACGGTCACGGATTGGAAAATTTCCGAAATATTTGGTGAAGTATGCTATGAACAACTGATGTATTAATCTTTAGCAATTTTTAAGGCCTAAAGATTGAGTTTGTTCGGGTCAGCAAAATTCAGACGTTCGTTGATATGCAATAATATGGCGCACTGCACGATGGATAGTAAAATATAATTGTCAAGACTCCACCCTACTTCGAAACTTCATATTTATTGAAAAATAGAGGAGAAAAAATCTAGTGAATTCATTTACTCACTAGATTTTTTATATACACTATGTCGGTGTGACAGACATTGTATTATCTACTATTCAATTACTCGGGTTTAATTCAAACATGCATAGCAGTAGCCAGTAGCACGACAAAACTAAATTCAAACCCCTTGAAATCGCGTAAGCAGGCCACCCGACCCTACCACAAACTGAAATTAGTTTCACATGATTGAGTTATGATATTTTTTTTTATTTTTTTTTTTAAAAAAACAAAAAGAAACAGAAGAACAATTGACAAATCAGGATATATATGTGGAGAATAAGGATATGAAAAAGTAATTAGTTGATATTTACATTAATTAATAACTATTAAATTACAGAAGTTCAAATGTTGCAGCACACATTTATAAAAACGAACTACATCTGCATATAAATCGATAATACATTTAAAGCATTCAAATACGCAGTTTAAACTGGAGCCACAAAACTTTGCAAACTGAACATTTATGCTATCAAACAGATTAAATTCAATGTCAGTCTGACATGAATCTTCTACGAATTAGTTTTCGTTATATTTGTGTACATACTGTATATCATAAATTCCAAATCTATTTTCATGTAATAATTATTGTCTTTTGACTAAGTAAATAACCCATATAATTAGATTTTTGAAAACATAAATGCGATTATACAGTATATAGAACCAAAACTAAACCTAACGTAACGTTTAAACCTTTTTGACATGCTATGAACAAATGCATTAAATTTTCAACGTAAGAGAAAACTCAGTTCAGATATTCTGTTCCTTTCTTGTTTTTCCAACGTAATATATGTACGTGAGGAGTTTAAAAAAAAAAAAATCATTTAGAAATAACTATACATAAATATAAACTAGGATAAATGTTATCATGTTCCATTTATCTTTAACAACATAAATCGTATATATAAGATCATTTATTTACCGAAACTCTGTGAGAAGATCATAAGCCTTTGTGAAGAAGATTCAGTATTATCTTTCATCTCTTAGAAGTAAAAAAATTGAAAAAAAAAAAAAAAAAGAAGTAAAAAATATATAGAAAAGTCGTAATATTAATTAGTGTTGTATAAAACCAAACCAAAAAACCTAAGCTGCAACGAAACTTAAAAGGAGCGTAAGACCGTAAACAAAAAGTCTTTGTTAGGTAAGGGATCCGAGTTTTTAACCACCAGTTGTCACTTAGCTTGAGGTAAGTCCACGTGCTTACCCATCCAACGCTCGTAATCGCAACTCTCTTGCTACCTACCACTTTCTCTATTCTCCCATAGTATTATTATAACTTGCCTCCAAAACAAAACAGGACAAAAGAAGCTTTGTTTTCATTATTTATCAATCGAACCGACTCACTCAACAATGTCTTCCTCCTCCGTCGACGTCGTCTCTCCGCCTCCGCTCCCTACCGTCGCGAAGCTTCATGTAGATTCCGTCACTTTTGCACCGTCCGTCAAGTCACCGGCCTCCTCCAATCCACTCTTCCTCGGTGGCGCAGGTTCGGTTGTCGTAGTTTCCTCTGTTCTTTTCTTCTTCTTATTTTTGCTGACTATGTGATCCGTTTGCTAACCCTAACGCAGGTGTCCGAGGCTTGGAGATCCAAGGAAAATTTGTAATTTTCACACTCATTGGAGTGTACCTAGACGCTAAAGCCGTCCCATCACTCTCCCTCAAGTGGAAGGGCAAAACCGCAGAGGAGTTAACCGACAGTATCCCGTTCTTCCGTGAAATCGTCACTGGTACTTCCTTCTGACACCAGTTACTTAACGTACACGTCAAGCTAGTTGTTCTTTTCTTATTTTCAGTCTTCTTCAATTTGCTCTTTAAGGTGCGTTTGAGAAGTTTATTAAGGTGACTATGAAACTGCCGTTAACTGGACAGCAATACTCCGAGAAAGTAACGGAGAATTGTGTGGCCATATGGAAATCCCTAGGGGTTTATACCGACTGTGAAGCCAAAGCTGTGGAGAAGTTCTTGGAGGTTTTCAAAGATGAAACCTTCCCTCCTGGCGCATCCATACTCTTCGCACTCTCCCCAAACGGCTCACTTACGGTAACTTCTAGTTATATTAACATTGACTTGGTGTATAATTTGCTTTGGCTTTTTACATATATAATTGCAAGTGGAAATGCCATATTGGAATGGGAGACTCTGTTTTTGCATTTACCTTAGGGAATGTTTTAGTCTTTTAAATGTAAACGCTAATGTAGAAGTTGGCGCTTGAAACAATGGTAGTTATAACGTGTCGCTTTGGTATACTTTGTTGACATGGATTTGTTGTGAATGTCTTTGCAGGTTGCCTTTTCCAAAGATGATAGCATTCCTGAAACCGGGAAAGCTGTGATCGAGAACAAATTGCTAGCGGAGGCCGTTCTTGAGTCGATCATCGGTAAGAACGGCGTCTCTCCCGGGACTCGATCTAGTGTTGCCGAGAGACTAGCTCAGCTGATGGAGGAGAACAAGGTCGAGGGCGAAACTAGTGATCTTTCCCTTGAAGATAAATCGGCCAAAGGGAACTGAGAATGATAGATTTCTCTTTGAGTATTTGTGTTTTTCAAATGTTTCTATGTCTTAATTACCTAATGTTCTTTAGTTTCTCTTGAATGTTTTTGTTAAATTAGGGTTTGTTATGGGCTTCCAACTCAAAACCAATTGGCAATTTGTGGATTGGCCCTAACCCTTTATATATTACTTAAGTCCCCTCACATCTTCCGATGTGGGATCTTTTCTCCACAGTTTTCAACTCTTTTTGATAATAATCAAAGAATTTCATGAACTAGGATCAAAATGCTGATTATTTTGATATTATCACTAGGCTGGTCTATTTTTATAGACTACACTAAGAGAGAAATTAACCAAGTGATCAAGAAATTATAAGGAAAAGATTTGGAACGTTTTGGTCAGTAGAGAATCAAATCTGAAAGTTTATTGAGTGTTCATGACTCATTAATATTAAAAGATGATGCTAGACGCATAGAAACTATGGTCCAATAACTTGGAGAGAATCTGGTTCTAGCTTTTGCGTTTGGCATTTATATTATTATTGAGGTGTTTGATTCTATTAAAGCAGAAGAGTGAAACATCAACGTTTCAAGCTCAAATCAAAGAAGCAAAACTAACAGTTTAAATGATAATTTGGTCGTTGTGATTGGTCAAACAGGTTCAGCCCTTTATGTCATGTTTTGAATTCAGCCATGATTTGATGAAGATTATCACTTTAAGCTTTAGATCCGCATGCCTGTCCGGTGATCACCTGGAAAATATGTAACGGAAAACACTGCGGATCTTTTTATGGTTGTAATGGGCCGACATGCACTTTTTATCCCACCATAGTAATATCCGTAGAGGTAGAACATGGAGTTGATTGTATCGTTCAATTGGGAAACTATCTCATCTTAGGCTCTTTTTTTATTTTATTTTATAGAAGAAGTAGTAGAACATGGAGTTGATTGCATATTGGTAGATTCGTGAGCTAATATGCGTAAAAGATGTTAAAAGATGATTTTGTAGTTTAAAAGGAAATTTAGTTAGTTAGTTCAGAAATGAAATGATTTTAAGACCATATTTCCAAAACAACATTTGAAAAAAGAATTAGTCACGAGTTTATCGAACAGAGAAGCGTCGGTTTAAGCAAGATTTGGTTGATAACTTAACATGGACTGGTAGCTCAGAATTTTAAATGCCAAAACCAAAATGCATTCTCGTCCAACCAAGCGTTATCACTAAAATTATATACTAGGAAACACGTGCTTCACGATTTTGATATTCTTTAAAAGATAGAATACATGTCGACCGGTGTTGATTATTTCCTATACATTTCATACTTATATACGTACTGTTTACCCAAAAATACAAAAATTTTACTATTAGAAAGAAAGAAAAACGAAAATATTTTCTTCTAGTAGCATACTATGATCAATTGTAAGATTCGTAAGTACTTACCTTTTTTTCTATATAGTTTTTACAAATATATTTTAACGATGGTGCACCAATTAGTCCATATCCTAAGTACCAACGTACATATATGTCAGTCAACGTGTGGTTTTCAATTTTTCAACTGTGGAGTCCTGCGAGCCACAAAACGTTAGCTTTCTAAATTCATGACGCGGCCCTCCCTCACCAATCATATATAGCTCTGCATTTACTATTTTTCCTTTCAACTAGTTTATATACGAACCTAATTACCTGAACACAGTATAACTTCATGGCCCCATCATCCTCCATACAATTATTATTTTTGCTTTTCATACGTTTTTCTTTTTATAAGATTGACAGAGGTAAACCTAACTTACATACTTTATTGATTCATTTTCTTAACTAAATTCTCTTTATTGATTCATTTTCTTAACATCCAAAACATTTTGTATTAACTAGTTAGTACTTGATCATATAATGCTTTTGCAAGGATTGGTAGTACTATTAATTGAAAAGCGAATTATATTCGCTTTTCCTTAGGATATAATATACTCTTGTTGATTTATTTAGTGTTAATTCTTTCATCTTCTTGAATCTCTTCGTTTCCCATATCAAAAGAGAGACAAGGGCTTAAACTCTTGCGAAGGACGATATTAAGATAAAGTCAGTGTCAGTTTGCTTCTCGCCTAACTGCATCTTCTTAAATGTGTCTCCCCCCATGTGAACTCCATGAATAACATTTACACATCTATCGAACTCCAAAACTGGCCATCAAATCATCCATATCGCCTAAATCCCGAAGCAATGATATTGATAATACCGCAACTAACGTGATTATCTACCTACCACACCAGTACTGTTTACAATATTAGCTAGACGCACGATTGATCGTTATGAATATTAGGGAGCCACGATACGTTCGTGTTCAAAAAATTATATTAAAAACGTATACTTTATAACACTATTCTTTTATGGTCTAGAAAATAAGAAAAAATAGCTAATATGGAGTTCACGATTGTCATATGATTGCACAAACTAAAAACAATATATATGACTTACTGATACTAATATACTAAAACCCTTGTAGCTCTAGCTTCAATCTTTCACATTAACGGAGTTCGTTTCCTATTTTTTATTAATCTCTATTACTACATCATTCTACTCTTTACCTAATAGACTTATCAATAGTTACCAATCTTTCTTCTTTCATGCCATATCGTTGCTGCGTGCTATATGTAGAAACTTCTTTCTTTGAAACAAAATCAGCTAACTCTATTTTCTCTTGATTCGTCTTTCTTTCTATATATATATATATTTTTTTAAATATATATTTTATTCATTCGTCTTTCTTTCTATTTTTATTACTATATATGTACTCTTTTTATCCATTAGTAATAATATTTTATCATCTCAATCATTAGGAGACGTGTTTCTCCTTTATTCTGTATATATATATATATTTTTTTTTTTGAAATTTCAAAGTCCAAACTACATATAACAATAAATGAGTTTATGTTTTATTCTCTTTAATCTTTATAAATACGATGAGAGAGAAGTGTTCACTGCTCATCAGTTATACACAACAGCAACAACAACAACAACAAAAACAAAAATCTGAACTAGAGATATTTTTGGTTGGCTCTCCCTGAAAGAAGAAGATAGCTGAAATTTTAACAAGTAAGTTCAATATTTTAATAAGTTTAGTAATAACAGTCATTTTATATAATTCATGATCTTTATACTTTAAAGTTTAAATAGACTAAGAAATCATCAAAATCTTGTCTCACCATTATAAAATTTATCCTACACATATGTTTGGTTCTCGTGAGTTTTTTCATGTATATAACTCATTCGTAACTCAAGAATACTGAATCCAAGCATGTTATATTTTATATTTCTTTTGTTCTTTTTATAGTTTTCTCAGGGTTTCCACATGTTAATTAGCTTCATCTACAAGAATACACCGTTAAACTGCCGTCAACAAAATCGAGTGCACAACGAAAAAAGAGTACGCCGTTAACTTAATCGTTAAAGATGCCACGTGTTTCGGCGGAAACTTTCGATATCTCTCTCGCCAGCGGCAACGAGTCACCGACACTTGGCGAACTTCTGAAAGATTTTACCGACAGTGGCCGGAAAAAATATCCAGGCGAAGATGCTCCGAGTCATCGTATATTGGATCTCGCTCCAACGGCTGAAACACAACCTGTGCCGTTTCTCCTAGCCTTCAACAAGCTCAGTTACAATGTCGTACTTCGCCGGCGATTTGGTTTCTCCCGGGGAAAGACCGCTTCAACGAAGACTCTACTCGATGATGTTTCCGGCGAGGCTTGTGACGGACAAATCCTCGCCGTTCTTGGTGGAAGCGGAGCCGGAAAATCCACTTTGATCGACGCATTAGCCGGACGAGTGGCGGAGGATAGCTTGAAAGGCACGGTAACTCTAAACGGAGAAAAAGTTTTGCAATCTCGATTGCTAAAGGTCATATCGGCGTATGTGATGCAAGACGATCTTCTCTTTCCGATGCTCACCGTTAAAGAAACCCTAATGTTCGCTTCTGAGTTTCGTCTCCCGAGAAGTTTGTCCAAGTCGAAGAAGATGGAGCGGGTTGAAGTCCTAATTGATCAACTAGGGCTAAGAAACGCGGCGAACACGGTAATAGGAGACGAAGGACACCGTGGAGTCTCTGGCGGAGAGCGACGGCGCGTTTCTATCGGAATCGATATTATCCACGATCCGATCCTCCTCTTCCTCGACGAACCAACGTCGGGGTTAGATTCAACCAACGCGTTTATGGTGGTGCAGGTTTTAAAAAGAATTGCTCAGAGTGGCAGTATCGTGATTATGTCGATTCATCAGCCTAGTGCTCGTATAGTTGATTTGCTTGATCGGCTTATCATCTTATCTCGTGGCAAGAGTGTTTTCAACGGTTCTCCGACTAGTCTTCCTTCTTACTTCTCCGAGTTCGGTCGTCCGATCCCGGAGAAAGAGAACATCACAGAGTTCGCACTTGACGTCATTCGAGAGCTCGAAGGATCCTCCGAAGGGAACAGAGGACTAGTAGAGTTCAACGAAAAGTGGCAACAGAACCAATCTGCTCGAGTCACACCACAAAGTGGCTTATCTCTAGAAGAATCAATAACTGCAAGTGTTTCTAGAGGCAAACTAGTGTCAGGCTCATCTGGAGCCAATCCTGTTTCGATGGAAAGAGTATCTTCATACGTAAACTCGCCATTGACCGAAGCGTTTATCTTAGCAAAGCGTTACATGAGAAACTGGATCCGCACGCCTGAGCTCATAGGAATGCGGATGGGTACTGTTATGGTAACTGGTCTTCTTTTAGCTACTGTATATTGGAGGCTTGACAACACTCCAAGAGGTGCACAGGAGAGAATGGGATTCTTTGCATTCGCCATGTCCACCATGTTTTACTGTTGTGCGGACAACATCCCTGTTTTTATCCAAGAACAATACATCTTCTTGAGAGAGACAACGCACAACGCATACAGAACATCTTCTTATGTCATATCTCACGCCCTTGTGTCTCTGCCTCAGCTACTCGCTCTATCCATTGCATTTGCTGCAACCACATTTTGGACCGTTGGTTTGAGCGGTGGGTTAGAGAATTTCTTCTACTACTGCCTCATAATCTACGCCGGCTTTTGGTCTGGATCCTCCTTTGTTACTTTCATATCCGGTATTGTTCCCAATGTCATGATGAGTTACATGGTCACTATTTCCTATCTTTCCTA